GGGACTTTTTACTAGGGCATGTAGTGACAGGACGAGGGGGAATGACTATAAACTGGAAGAGGGCAGGTTTAGATTAAACATTAGGAAGAAGTTTTTCACTTTAAGGGTGGTAAGGCACTGGACCAGGTTGCCCAGAGAGGTTGTTGAGGTGCCGTCCCTGGAGGTGTTCAAGGCCAGGCTGGACGTGGCCTTGGGCAACCTGGTCTAGTGGGAGGTGTCCTTGCCCATGGCAGCGATGTTGGAACTCGATGATCTTCAAGGTCCTTTGCAACCTAAACCATTCTATGATTCTATGATTCTGTGATGCACTAGTTTCCTATTATGTGGCTTTGTCTCAATGTGCTGGGAACCATATCAAGAGAAAATGGAGTGGGAACCTAAGAAGTGATAGCATGTAGAAGGAAATTGCAGGAAGAGATTGGGGAGGCCTTAGTGAAAGAGAACCGAGGAATGGATGTCAAGAAGGAAAAGAAAAAAAAGGATTGTCCCAAAAAAGGCATAAGAGCACCAATAAAAGGGTAGAAGAAAATAAGTTGGGGTGATACGTGTAAGGAGCTGGAAGTCTCAGATACAGGAAATAGAGAAAAAAGGGCCTGAGGAATAAGAAATGATGGAGGTGTGTGAATAAAAGATGGATGGTGAACCAAGTCACTAAGGATAGTAGGAAGTGTGCAACTTTGAAACAGAAAGAGAGGAGTAGAAAGATATGTTGGTTTTGACAGGGAAGAAAAGTGAAGGACTGAAGGAATTTTCTGCTGGGAGTATGTGCAAATTGGATGATGCATATTCATTGCTGTCCAGAGTAGCACATCAGGGCATTTGCATAAAACCTCCAGCTTTCTGAATTTACAACTTAGGCAGGCACCTCTCTGATGGTAAAGAAAAGGGAATAAATGATCTGAGGTAGTGGCACTGGGACTTGGATAATAATTCAAGGGTTCAAAGCTCAGCCAGAGCCAGCAGCTTATCCTTTGCCGTTGCTGGCACAGATCTAGTGTCCAGTGCATTGCTTTGGAGGAAAATATCTGACCGTACAGGAGTAAGGCACTTTTCAGGAGTACTGATTCTGCTCCCCAGCTAATTCACTAGCAGTAAAACTAACATGGCTTGAGAACAGTTTGGAGCTGCCTTTGCAGCCTCAAGTGCGTAAGGAGATTCTTGATATCACTCCTTTATGTCCCGTATTTCCTACCCTGTTACTGGCAACAGGCCTCACAGTCTGTCATCTGGCCAGCACTGGTGCTTCTAAGCCTGTGGTTTATGAAACTGAGCGTTGGGCTTTCTCTGCTAGCATTTAATGTGTGGTAAAATTTGGCCCATTTTTTGGCCAGGCGAAATTGTATTTGAAGGATTTATAATGTGCCTATTGCCATAAATTTATTTATGCTGCCTTTTTTTTCCCTTACAGCTTTTTATTTTCAGTGTTGCACTCCACGTTTCATTAGGTTTAAAGAACTGTTCAATTCCTGTGCTCCCATGTCCAGTCAGTGTCTCGTCTGTTCCTCTGTGCACTAGTTCCTTAGATCATAAGTGTCACTCCCATTAATGTGAATTGTACTTCATTTCTTTGTAATAATTCCTCTGAGGACTAACACTCAGGTTCACTGTAGGGAGACTGCTTTTTTTTTGGGGGGTGGGGAGGGGCAGAAATCCCACAGCTCTTTTAGTGTAACTGTGGTGGTCTGTCTGCACATCTAGTCATGCATTCTGTCTTGATTGATTCTGATGGAGAATAAATGATCTTTTTTGTAAAAGCTGTAGGCGGCCTTTTCCACATTACACAGAATCACAGAACGTTTGAGGTTGAAAGGGACCTCTGGAGGTCATCTAGTTCAGCTCCCCTAGTCAAGCAGGGCCACCTACAGCAGGCTGCCCAGGACCACGTTCAAACAGCTTTTGAATGTCTCCAAGGATGGAGACTCCAAAACCTCACTGGGCAACCTGTGCCAGTGCTCAGTCACCCTCACAGTATAAAAGTGTTTCCTGATGTTCAAACAGAAAATCTTGTGTTTCAGTTTGTGCCTGTTGCCTCTGATCTGGCTACTGGAGACCAATGAAAAGAGCTTGGCTCTGTCCTCTTTGCACCCTCCCTTCAGGTAGATACACACATGACTGTGATTCCACCGAGCCTTCTCTTCTCCAGGTTGAAAACTCCCAGCTCTCTCAGCCTTTCCTCACATGTGAGGTACTCCAGTCCCATAATCATCTTAGTGTCCTTTTGCTGGACTCTCTCCAATATATTCATGTCTCTCTTGTACTGAGGAGCCCAAAACTGGGCGTGGTACACCAGGTGTGGCCTCACCAGCGTTTAGAGGGGAAGGATCTCCTCTCTTGACCTAATGGCATCTCTCCTTCTAATCTGTCTTAGGATACCATTGACCATCTTTGTGGCTAAAGAACATTGCTGGCTCATGTTCAACTTGAGGTCTACTAGAACCCCAAGGTCCTTTACTGCAAAGCTCCTTTCCATCTGGGCAGCCCTGAGCATGTCCTGGTGCCTGGAGTTGTTCCTCCCCAGGTGCAGGACTTTGCACTTCTTGTTGAACATCATGAGTTTCCCATCAGCCCATTTCTCCAGTCTGTCAAGATCCCTTTGTGTGGCAGCACAACCCTCTGGCATATCAGCCACTCCTCCCAGTTTGGTGTCATCATCCAGATCGTTAATAAAGATGTTGAACAGGATTGGATCCAATACTGATCCCTGGCATACACTGCTAATTACCAGCCTCCACCTAGACTTGCCACTGATCACCATCCTCTGGGCCCAGCCATTGAGCTGTTCTTCAATCTACCTGAATGGTGGAATGGCAGCACCTTACCTGTTTTTCTGTTTGTGAAGCTTCACATCAAAACAGGCTGTGAATGGAGGTTTACAATGTAGTTTTGCAGATATTTTAAGACTTCCTCACTAGTATAAGGTGCAGCCTAGCAAAAGCACAGAAATAGGTATTTGAAAATGTATCACAGACCAATGTGAGGTGGGATCTGGAATCTGAATGAATTGGTAAAGCAAGAAGGGTCTCTGAAGGCCTTTGAAAATTAGGGCAAGCAGCTTTGGACTTGATGAAAAACCTTCTGGCTTTTTCATTTGTATGAATTGGCAAAGGCAACACTGGAAAATAAGAATCAAAACATATATTGCCGTTTTATTCTTAGGGTCTACGATATATTATTGCAATTTCTCTTAAAAAAGTCATATCTACTTTATTTGTAACTCTGCATTGAAATACCTTTGGATAATGGTAATTTCCTGCAGTTATTCTACAAATATTTCTACTGTTAGGCTCAGTTCTGAAGATCTGGCAATTAGATTTTAAAATACTCCTTCTAAAACATAAGTGAATGAGGTTAAAACTAACACAGACAAGTTTGCATATCCAAAAGCAGGTAATTGAAATTAGCAGTGACCTGAATACCTACATCTTGGTGATGTGCATCAAGGATTTCCAGGAGGAGTTATTTCTTTGGCAGCAGGAAGCATTGACATTGCAGCATGGACTTCTTGCGGCATAAATTCAGAACTTTGGTAACCCAAAAAGACGTGTTTTATTACTAAACTGAAAGTGAATTTAACCCCCCCCTTCCTTGGATATAACCACTACCACTTTTCAGAATGGCTGTTAACGAGATTATGCAGCTGCTGCTGATTTAGTCAGCTCAATGACTAAGCATGCTCCATATTTTCATAATGAAAAAACACAGATATATGGGTTGAGGGTTCTTAGTTGAAATCAGGGCTAATCGGATTTGGAAATAAACCTTTTATAGCTTCCTCCCTGCTTCCACAGTTTGCGGTTGTTTTTTTTTTTGCTCTTACTGCCAGAATGGAAAACCAGCATTAGAAAGCTGACAAGAGCAAGATCTTTTTATTTTTATAGAAATTTGCAACAAGATTTTCCTGTTTTTCTGTGATTAGAAGTTTGGGGATTTTTTTGCATTTAGCTGATTCCTCCTTATCATGGTATTTTGTAGTGAGTTGCTCCTGTATACTGAATCCATATAGAATTTTATTATTTTTATTGTGTTGATTTCTTTCCCTTTTAGCCTTTATTTATTTATTGCTTGTTTTTATGCCAAATTACTTTTTTTCCCTTAGCTGCCTTCCAATTCAGGTCTCATTTATCTGTAGCTCTCTTCTGCTCTGAAGAATCCTTTCTTTTCTGCACAGCTTATTTTCCCCTGTGCTCATCCTGGCCTCCCCTGTTGGTTAAATTTACATTATAAATTCTCTTTGGTTTAGCATATATCCAAAAGTGCAAACAGTTCTCTCATTTACTTGAGCTCTATATTTTTTGCTCTTTGTGCAGTTTCTTACTTCTTTCTCACCAACCAATTTATCAGGGTAGACATACTACAGCCTTTGATGGAGAACTATCTCTAGAGACTTCAGTGCAGCAATAGAACTCCTCGCTAAAAACAGTTGCTTGCAGCATTCTTGCAGGAATTGAAAAATATGTTTTAGACTTTTTCATTATGTGATACTCTATCCTACTCTACTGTACTATAATTGCTACCATTACTAATACCTTAAATGGATTTAGTAAACGTAAGATAAATGTGCCAATTTCTACTACTGACAGAGAACAGAATTACTTTCATGATGGCTGTGAGGGAGATCCCTTTGGCAGTGATGGTACACAGTTGTTGAATTAGTCAGGCATAAAGAAATATTTGTGATCTAAGACATGACAGGTGGTGATGGAGGGTTAGCTTTTTTCCATACTGATGCAGATTTCTTTACATGTGTAAGGATGAAGGGAGACTTTGGGGGTGGAGTTATGATGAGGGTACACTGAAATCATATGAGAACTGTATCTTATTCTGCCTTTTGTGATTTATACCAATGTGTGTAGTGTCTGCAGAAGGTGGTATTTTGGAGGTGTTGCTTATGGTTTATCATAGGATTTCAGCTAGTACAGGAAGGCATGAATAAACTGACAGGTATACCGCTTCTGTCCTACTTCTGCCATTTCAAACACCTTTGGTTTTGTCCATTTTAGACCAACCTTGTGAAGCTGCTTTTGATGCACTGGGCGAATCCCAATCTTCTTAACTGCAACAATGAAAAGCCTTCAGGTAGGTGAAAATCCATGTATGGATATATGTAGTAGTTACTATGACACTGTTTTCTTTCCTTCTTGCTTTCTTACTTATACTAAAATACGGAGGTGATCAGTGATAGCCAACATGTCTTCACTAAGGGTAAATTGTGCCTCACAATTGTAGTGGCTCTCTATGATGGGATTACAGTGTCGGTGGATAAGGGAAGAGCAACTAATGTCATCTCCCTGGACTTGTGCAAAACATTTGATGCTGTCCTGCATGACATCCTTGTCTCTAAATTGGAGAGACATGGGTTTGATGGATGGACCACTTGGTGGATAAGGAAATGGCTGGACGGTCACAATCAGAGTTGTGGTCAATGGCTCAATGTCCAAGTGGGGACCAGTGGCAAGTGGTATTCCTCAGGGGTTGGTATTGGGACTGGTGCTGTTTAACATCTTTGTTGGCGACATGGACAGTGGGATTGAGTGCACCCTCAGCAAGTTTGCTGGTGACATCAAGCTGTGTGGAGTGGTTGATATGCTGGAGGGAAAGGATACCATCCAGAGGGACCTGGACAGGCTTGAGAGGTGGGCCAGCGCAAACCTCAGGACAAGTGCAAGGTCCTGCATGTGGGCTGGGGCAATCCCAAGCACAAATACAGGCTGAGTGGAGAAGAGATTGAGAGCAGTCCTGAGGAGAAGGACTTGGGTGTGTTGGTTGATGAGAAGCTCAGCATGAACTGGCAATGTGCGATCGCAGCCCAGAAAGCCAACCGTATGCTGGGCTGCATCAGAAGTGTGGCCAGCAGGTCAAGGGAGGTGATTCTGCCCATCTACTCCACTCTTGTGAGACCCCACCTGGAGTACTGTGTTCGACTCTAGGCCCCCCGACATATGAAGGACATGGACCTGTTGCAGTGGGTCCAGAGGAGGGCCATGAAGATGGTCAGAGGAATGGAACACCTCTCCTATGAGGACAGGCTGAGAGAGTTGGGGTTGTTCAGCCTGGAGAAGAGAAGGCTCTGGGGAGATCTTATTGCAGCCTTCCAGTATCTAAAGGGGGCCTGCAAGAAGGCTGGAGAGGGACTTTTTACAAGGGCATGTAGTTAACTGGCAAGGGGTAATGTTTTAAAACCGGAAGAGGGTAGATTTAGATTAGATATGAGGAAGAAATTATTGTGAGGGTGGTGAGACACTAGAACAGGTTGCCCAGAGAAGTTGTGGAGGCCCCATCCCCGGAAGTGTTCAAGGCCAGGCTGGATGGGGCTTTGAGCAACCTGGTCTAGTGGAAGGTGTCCCCAGCCACGGCAGGGGGGCTGGAGCTAGATGATCTTTAAGGTCCCTTCCAACCCAATCCATTCTATGAGTCTGTGTTTTTATGATACACACACACATATATGTGTGTGTGTGTACATGTATAGCGTGTAGAGTTATATACAGATATGCATGTGTCTATATATTTCTTTTCCTTATATTGCTGACAACTGCCAGTCATGATCATGCAGGATATCATATCAAATGATAGTATGTTTTTCCCCTTGTTGTATTCCCTGTTTATTTTTAGTTATATTTCTTCCTTGTAAGTTCTTCAGTGCCTTGGTGGTAGCTGCGTTTACACTTCCTTGGTGACTTCTTGCCGAGTTCCTTTCTGTGTCTCAACTGATGATGGTACATAGCCTCATGAATTGGAATCTCTATAGCTGTTGACTGAAAAAAAAAATTCACCATCCAGTTTTCCAGTGTGGCACCTGCTGTTTCCAAAAGAAGGCAGCACCTTCTTAGACCGGATAACAACAGGGAGCTCAAGCACTGGCTATAAAGATAACAGAGTTCTAGAATATATTAGATTGGAAGGGGATCCAGATCCACTGGTCTAACCCAGTGATCAGAGCAGGGTGAATGCAGTAATGCTAGATAGCAGTGTTGGAGAGAAGAAACATATGGTTGTTCAACCTTCTATGCATAGGATAAAATGAAGAAGGAAGCCAGTAATGTAGACAATAGAATCTTTCTGTCAAATTATGAGGAGAAAATTCCTTTGAATAATAAACTAAGATATATTATGCTTCAAATAATGTGCCACCCACAAATAACCTCACAGGGAACTTCATGACACTTAACCTCAGGAAAGTCATTTGTGGTTAGATACATGCTAGTTTGTATTTGTATAAAAGTCTGTGGACCAAACAGATCATCTAACAATACATCTAGCTAACTACATTTAGTATGTGTTTAACAGAGATGAGTTAACTATATTTCTGGTCTGCAAACGTAACTGATTTCAGCACTTCTGTATGTGCAAGACACAAATACAGTTTGTAGAAATATAGAAGGTTTGAAAAGGATTTCCGTACATTTTCATTCCGATACAGAGTTGAAAGCAGTTATGTTGCTTCTCCTGAAGTCCTATGAATTATTGAATAATAGTTCAGTTTACTGCAGAGTGAGAAAGGTTTTGAGATTTTGCAAATGACAACTTAATTCCGTACTGAATTTGATTTGCCTTTGTTTTCTCAGTAATTTCAAGTATTATTTTATGATTAATCTCTGAGCAATTCTTTTAATTTTATCTAGCTGGATGCTTAATCTTAATCTGATAAAGAGATTTGAACTGAAATGGGCTTGTATTCACTGTTTCCGTTGTCTGATATCTTCATATTCCAATGTCTTAGATGTTGCAGCTTCTGAGTTTATTGAGGAAATGCTTCTGAAAGCTGAAATTGTTTGGGAGGAAAAAATGAAAGACCCTTTGACTGTTTCTACTTTATCTCAAGAAGAGCCATATGAAGAGATCATCCATGATCTGCCCAGAATTTCCAATAAACTGTAAGTGTTTCTGTTGTTAAGAGTGATGCGCTGAGGCCAGATTATCATTTTAACTGTATTTTTCAATCTGTGAATCCCGTCTGTGTGGCATCGGAGACATTCAAGACCCATCTGGACATGGTCTTGGGCAACCGGCTCTATGTGTCCCTGCTTGGGCAGGGGGTTTGGACAAGATACCCTCTAGAGGTCCCTTCCAACCTCAACCACTCTGTGATTCTGTGTGACTTGATGAGTCAAGTAACTCATTTTGGAAATCTACTGAATCATCTTTTGTATTTGCGTCTCCCATCTCTTTTAGTCAACCTTAATTCTATAAATAGAGTAATAAAATACGTTGTTATAATTGCCAGTAAAATTATCTGAGGTTGCCGTAGCAGAATTATTAGAGGTTAAACTGTAGACCCAAACATCCTTTTATTAAGGTAGATGGGAATAATGTAGTAAAACTACCATTGCTTATGAGAAAAGCAGGGACAAGTCTTGAGAGTAAAACTACGTGCAATCACAGATAAAATGACAACAGGAGTTACAAATTTGTAGTTAGATTTATACAGCTTAAAAAAGAAAGCAAAAAAGGAAGCAAACACACGCTTAGGTAAAACACCTTTCCTCCTCCTTTCTGAAGCTCAACTTCACTCCCAGCACCTCTTCTCTTTTCCCTTGTTATTGCTGCAAGTTACACTTAATCCCTTCAGTGAAGGATTCAGGGCTCAACAGGGCAGGGTTGCAGCTCTTTCTCTCCACCGCTCCTTCCTTCTTGCTCTTCCTGTGATTTGGCATGGGTCCTCCACAAGCTGTAGTACTTTCATTGGCATACCTGCACCAGCATAGGTCCTCCAATGGTCGCAGTGCCTTCAGGGAGATACCTGCTCTGGTGTGGACCTATGCAAAGGCTGCAGTCCTACACCAGCGTGGCTCCTCCATATGCCACACAGGAAAAGATCAGGAAAGAAGCAGTGGCAGAGAGAAATAACTGAAGTCAATTTGGTAGGTGGCAGTGCCTGCTCTGCCATGGAATGCTTCCTACTCCTCTGACCTTGCTGGTCCCTTTTTTGTTTCTGTCTTTTTGTTCCCTCTTCTTCTCTCCCTGTGGCATTTTCTGCCCTTTCATGCATATGTTTTCACAGAGGTGGCACCAGCTTGGCCAATGGGCTCAGTTGTGTCCTATGGTGGGTCCATGGCAGAGCTGGCTGAAACCAGCTGTGTCCAGCATTGGCCAATGTGTGGCTTCTTCCCACAGAAGCCCCCCTGAAGCCCTCTTCTACCAAAACCTTGCAGCTTATGCCCAGTACAGTAATTTGCAGGAAATGCACTTTGCTCATTGCATTATATAAATTTTAACAGCACCTCGTTATAAAGATTTTCAAATGTGTTTGTGAGGTACCATTAATTAAAGCATTGCCACCTTATTTGAGTGTTTCTTACTGTTTTGTTAAAATATTATCATTTGTGAATAAAATGGTGGAACCTGGTCCATGAAAATTGGTGGCAGTAGAGGCCAACAAGTAGGGAGTTGGTTTTGTATTGGAGACCATATTGTCATACAACCAATATTTGTCTTTTCTTTCTATTACTATTATGAGCTTCTCTGAAAGTTGACCAAGTAAATTAGCTAAAGGACAGACTTTTACTAATGTCATGAGGTTTTTTGAAGGTTGATCAATGCAGCAAACCTAAGGTCTGTTATGGAAAGTTTTGCCAGTTTTAATTTTAATGGTACAATCAGAAGAAATTCTTTTACTCCACTGGCAAAAGTACCTGCACCAGAATACATTAATATTATAGTTTAGGAAATTAAATTGCCTATATCTGTTTAAAGGTGATATTAGGCTTGTTATTTGGTTGCAATGATCACCGCTGCAGTTCTAGTTTAGTACATCTACCAGTAGAAATTTTATCATTGAAATAGTCCCTAAACACACAAATAGTGCAGTCATCTAGGTAGTAATAAATACTAAAAAATTAGGAATTTATAATCCAAGTAATGCTAACTTAACCACACTATATATTTTCTCATATGTATCTAAGTAAGTAAATATTAATTATAGTAAGGGATGTGTTTCAAAATCAACACAATAATGTGAAATAAAGCATACATAGATGTGTTTGAGACAACAAGGCAGAAAAGAGATAACCTTTTTCTTCTTGCAGAGCATTTCTGTTTAACCATTTATGTAGCAACTTGCATTTCAATTATTCTAGTGGTTTCAAACACTCTTGAGTGTTTAATCCATTCTAAAGTGTCTTTAAAAACTTTAAAAAGTTTTTAGACTGAAATTTCAGATTATGCTGTTTACAGATGTTGACTGGCTTAGAAATTCTTTGGAGGATCTCAGAATTGCTTGTGGAAGGATCACAGTAACAGAAGTTCTCTCCAGCAAAAGCTATAAGCTCAAAGAGCCCATGAAAATTACATTGCAGAATCCGCCTTTTATATCATCTTTCTACCAAGTTATAAGCTGCCATAATGATTCAAATATTGATGATAAAACTGCCAATTATTTGATTGTCAGCTTCCAGTATTTTATATGACTTTTTTTTTTTTTCTTAAAAAACAAGGACATGCTAGAGGATGGCAAATTATAGAAAACCATCTTAGTTTATCTAAAAGAAAAAACCTACACAGAATTTCAAATTAATTCCATACATGATCGCTTATACGCCTAAAAATTAAGATGGCTATTCCTCCATTTAACATGCAAGATTTTTTCCCAGTTAGCAACAGTCCTCCCATGTTCAAATAAAATTATCCCAATTGTCCCTCCTGTCTATTATGCAACATTATTTTGGTTTAAGTCTCCCTTTGTGGCTAATTATCTATTAATTATCCATTAATTTTCAGAAAGAAGGCAGGTCATGCTAATCCACTTGCCTACATTAACATAAAATCTTCTCTTGTGCTGTTCTATAGTTCAATTTTCAATGGCATTGCTTGACTTGTGACTAATAGAAATACATATGAATATTGAGAGAAATATTTTTCTGAAGAGCTGCTGTTTTCTGAAAACATTCTATTTCTGTTTATTTTGCACAATGTCTTCTTTAACCTGAGTCCTAATGAATTGTTGGAGTAATTTTAATATGTTTTTCTTTCTTGTACACATTCACATTTTTGTTGTAATAAGAATTATATTTCAGCATTGCCATCATGTAAAGTCTTATTAATATCTCACAAATGCACATAATTTATAGGCTATTCTCCTGTACATCAATACATGCAACACGCCTGTGAAGTCATGTTATTATTGTCTTCTTAAGTTCAAAATGCATCTGTGGAAACAGTAGGCACCTTTTTTTCTCAACTTTTCTGTGATTTACAACCTACTTCTCTTTTGTGACACCTGAAAACTTTATTTGGTTGTAAGGAGTTTACAGCTGAATTTTAAGAAGTGTTTCTAATGTGTGTTGTATAGTTAATACAAAAATGATAAGACTAAATGGATAAGGTTTAAATTCACAGCAAAAAAAAATCCTGGATCTTCACAATTTAAAACAGACATCACATGAATAATAAAAAGTTACAAGTGGCAGTGCTTCAGTTTTTAATATTTGAATTCATTTGGCTTATGCTTTTCTTTAAATCTTCCTTCTCTTTGTCTGTGATTAGATCTTAAAATTCAGACCAAAGGAATTTGAGCAGGTTTGGACAATAGCAAAAGACTACTCAACCCCAAAATTTTATATTTAATTGTTTTGTTTAATTCTGAGTCTGGGTAAAATGTGCATTAGTATTAGTAATTTCTGCTTGTGAGTGTCACAGCTATTTCATTTCTTCTACCATCTAATAAGTCATATCTCTTATTCTATGACATCTAATTGCCAAGTTCACAAAAATAGATAATGGCTTTTCTGTTCTGCAGACCAAATCAAGAAAAAAGGCAAAGCTGTTTGGTTCTTGGATCTTTTGTCTATGTGACATTTGATAAACAAATGTATGACAAATTTACCTTTGGTAAATCAAAGCAGTAAATAGAAATTTTTGCTTTTACTAGTGTTTCTCGACATTTCGCATTAAAATGCCGGAAACAAAACATCATTGGAAATGAAATTGTATATATGTCATGACCAAAAGTGGAAACTAATTCTTTCAATGTTTGCAGATTAAGGGTTTCATCAAAAGAAAGGCTTTGTTCATGTATTTTTTTTTCAATAGTAAACGACTTTGACTTGTTTTCCAATGAATTCTGCTTAGAAGGTGCTTTACCTCGCTTAGGACTGTGTTTCAGTTCTGTTTCCAATAGCAGTTCTTATCCTGAATTGAAATCAATATTAGCTATGTGTCCTCCTTCATTTCGTTTGAGTAACCTGTGTGTATAATCCTGGCTTTATTATAATCAGCGATCAAACCCAAGTAACTTAGAGTAAAACCAGTATTTTTTTTAAAGTAACTTTGACATCTGGGCTTTATCCCTAGTGGAATGCGCTATCCCCCCATTCCCACATTAAGTCCATATTTTCTTTCAAAGAAATTATGCACACATTTTGGCAAGAAGCTGCTGTACACTCCATGAGATTGTCTTATTTGCACTGTCAGAGCCCAGATGATTATTTTTTAAGATGTTTGTGTTCTCGACTCCTGGGGCTGATTCCTCACTAATTTCTTTGGATGTACAACACTGCCAAAATCATCCAAGATTTTGGCATTGTTGTTTTTCAGAAGTGTGATGTTGTCTGAAGTGTCAGTAAGGAAAACATCCCCATGCATGTAAGAATAGATTTAACTTATATGTGAATGAAGAGTATGGTGTATCACTGCAGCAATTTGTCTGCTGTTTCCTTGTGTTGTTTTTTTTTTTTTTTCTTTTAACATCACAAATTCAAAGCAGCTTTTGATCATAAAATATATCTTGAATATTGCCTGATTAAAAATAAGCTTAAAAGTGATGGAATTTAATTTTAACTGCAATGACAATATCTGTATTGAATTATTTTAAAATCTATTATTTTTCAAAACACTATTGCATAGGCTAATTGTGCATTTTAAATTCCATTTCCAAATTGGCTATTGATTTGCCAGCCTAATGTTGTCAAAAGCAGACTCATGCATATTCTCTTTGGCTTGCTCAGTTCTGCTTCAGAAAAGATATGCATAAAGGTGAATTTTAAATCAAAGTGTTTTGCTCTGTCTTTGGGAACAGACTAACCTATGTGAACAGTTTATTTCTCACCAATTTCTTTTTTGTACTCAGACCAGGAACTCATTTCTCAGCCCTGAATTATATCTTAGTTCTGTGTTTGTGCCACCCACATTTGGCAATCTTTTGTTTGTCTGACATCTTCAGGAGGAGTATAATTGCTTTATTGATTCTCTTTGTAGCAATCCCCTGGCTTTACCGATTGCCAAGCGAGACAGTTTGCTGGAGAAAGACACCATGTTTAAAGATGCAGCTAAAGGTTTGTGTAAGCAGCAATCTCAAGACAATGCATCTGAAAATGTCACTGTGAACACTACAACCAAACTTGAACAGGTAACGGCATGCAGTTTCTTGAAGTGTTTGTTAGTGCTTGGGTCTGGAAATTGTGAAGTTAATGAAGCCGAAGACCATAGTGTTGTGTTGTTTTTTTTCCCCTCACCACACAGCAATATCATTTGCGCTGTGGAGCCTTGTCTCCTTGATGACTCCCTGCATCAGTCTGGCCCTGCAAAGAGTTCCCTCTCTGCAAATTGAACAGCTGCTTGCTACCAGCTACTGGTGGCAGGTCAGGGGCTGCGGCAGTTGGAGGGCTCAGAGCTCCTCAAACTCTATTCATGTCTCACAACAGGGGAGGGACAACTGTTAGCACTGCTCAAAGTGCGCGCTCATCTCTAACTTCGGTTTACAAAGAAAAGAAACACAATCTGGGAGACTGCAAAAGCAAAAAGAATGTCTAAGGAATATTAAGTTGCAAAATAAGTGACTGTAATTTAAAGGCAGGAATTGCCAGATTTACAGCTGCAGTGCTAACTCCCTTTCTTGTGCTAATGCATTAGGGTACAGGTACTGTTTATTGGGATACCCTTTAGAGTTTTCTCCACAGGGTTACAATCTCATTCAGCGTATAGGGTAAATGCAAAAGGAGGCAATTATCTGTTGCTTGTAAATCTGGCAAGTCCTAACTTTGAATGTTTAGAACTTAAATGTTGTTTGGGTTGGGGTTTGGGGTTGGTTTTTTTTGTTGTTGTTTGGGGGTTTTATTTTGGTACAAGGGTTTTTATTTTCTGTTACATGTATTTGGGAAACACATATTCCAGAAGTATTTAGCCATTTAAGAAAAAAAGTACTTTAGAATCCGGGGGTGGGAGGGGAGATTTTCCATTTAAAATAATTTACTGTGAGTTTGAAGCATAACAAAAGATCAAGATACTGATTCCATTTAAACCATGTTCAGTTCAAGAAAAACGCCTAACTACCTTGGCAGAATCATGCACACTCCACTGTTTTTTTTTTAAACATGTTTCAGAGGAATGTGTCAATCATACCAGTCCATCTCTGAAAGTCCTCAGCTTTGGAATCCCATAGAGCGCTCATTTTCCTATTCAGTCAGAAGATACCACAAAATGATTTGCCACTGGCTTACATCTTGTTTTTATGTCATAAAACTTCTGGCTTTGCTGACTGTGCAGTGATGTGATTAAAACACAGGCAATCCAAGAGAGAAGCACTGCTAGTCAGAAAAGTAAATGCTTGCAACCCTATTAGGAGCCCTCCTATATTTACAGGAAAATAAAGGGAGGTATTTAGCTTAGGGTCTCGCTGAGACTATCCCTTCCATTGCAGGGGGTTGGAACTAGGTGATCTTTAAGGTCCCTTCCAGCCCAAACCATTCTGTGATTCTAGTGTTCTAGAAGTTCAACAGGAGTGTGGACAAGAACGTACATACTTTCTTCTGTTTGATTCTGGTTTGGTATGGACTTAGCTAAAATGATTCAAGTTTTCATTATCTCTAGGCTAGCCTTTCACTTTACAGTTTGTGCAGTAAAATGTATGCAAAAACTGGAAGAGCAGCCTATCTCCTAGGCAAGAAAGAGCAACCAGAGGTTTTCATGCTGGTAGTTTTCTCCTCAGCCGTGTTGTAGTCACTTCAGGGTTCCAGGGCAGGTTTTCAAAACTTTACTCATTCTAATGTTTCACCACACTTCAGTGCAACTTCCCACAACGGTTACAATTCAAAGACAAGACAGCAAAATTAAAGGTGAATCTCTCTTAGCTCCGGTAGCTGAGAAATTTCTGCAGAAAACTCTCTGAAATTCTACTTTATGTGAGCTAGAAGGAATGTGTATCTTGTGGTCTTTTAAAAGCAGTAGAAACTACAAACTTTGCCCAACATCTGCAGTTGCTGAATAAGGAGTAATGCTCCCTTGGAAATGAATAAGCAGGAAGAGTCTTATCTGGGAAATCAGCACTAACACGGGATAGGTTAGAAACCACACTATTTCAGCTGTTGCGTTTTTAATTGACTGGTTGCATTAAAAAAAATCATAGATTAACAGAACTTTTCAGTTGGCAAAGGCTTAATACATTTTGGCTCTTATGGACAAAAGAGCATAGAACGCTTTCATCACTTCAGGAGATAGTTTAATTTTATCAAACTAAAGAATCCTCATGTTTTGTCAAATGAAAATACAAGGGTTTTTTTCTTTTTTTGAAGTGACGTAATTGTGGTCCTGGAAACTGGCCGTTCGGTCATAGATATTTCTTGTTTCAGCATGTTCTTGCTAATGTTTTTTGGTTGTATTTATTGGCGGTCTCAGTTTTTTACAGAACAGTAAGCTGCAGCAACTTAAGCATAATGCTAACTATGAGTAGTGCTTTGTTTCTTCCATTCTGTTCTCTTGTGGAATGAGATACCTATCACAAGCTGGGCTCTGGCCCCAAGAATCAAGAGGCAGCAAAAAGTGCCATAGCTGAAGAAAAGCAATCAAGACCAAAATTTCTCTGGACTTTGAATATTCTTGTTAATGTAGTTTTTGTTGCCCTCTGAGGACAGGGATTGTACTCTACACTACTTTCCATGCATTATGAATTGTAGGTATATGTGTGTCATCCATATTTTGCGTATATAATATGTAGATCTTAGTTTTCAGAGGTGTTATTTCCAAATAACACATTTTTATTATTTTTATTTCACAATTTGTAAAGTAAAATTTTTCTTTAAGGCTGACACCAAAGGAGAGCTTTGAACAACCCCTTCCCCCTATCTCTGCATCTTGGGTATACTAATTCTAATGAGTTGCACTATCTTTTATTCTTACCAGTTGCATTCCAAACTACATTCAAAGTAATCATGTACTGTTTAATTTTTCAATAGGATATATGGAGTCATTACTTGGATTTTATGTTCATATATTATTGAAATAGATCAGCATGATATTTCCCATGCTTTGTGTCAGAGATTTCATACGTTCTTAGGCAATATGGCATGCAGATTAGACCTTTATTGGGGGATCAGAGAGAAAAAGTTCATCTTATTACATCTGACACATGCATTTTTAATAGAGAAAGCTTGTAACTTTTTTGGTCTGAGAAAACTAACAGCTCAAATTTATATGTAGCCTTAGGTTTTTTTAATTACAAAGATAATGAAAAAGAGCCTTAACAAAATATTATTTCTCATGAAGTAAGATTTTTATTCCATGAAGCATAGGAGATGGGGATCAAATGACTACACTGATAAAGCATTTTGGGTCTCTCTTGGCTTGTATTAGCTTTTGCATTTTTCTAGGTAAAAGATGTTCTTTGATCACCTGTAATGTCAAGGTCTGTGCTGCCAAACAAAGAAAGCAGTATAAATAAATTCCAGAATTTTATCATAGCTGGCAATTTCTCTTCCTTTCAGCTAGGAGGGATATCTTTCCGATAGCAGATTAAAATTACTGTCCTGGAATTGAATTATGTACTTCATGCTACAAACAAATTTAGATAAAATGTTTTCTTTTTCTTAATTGGGGATTTAAAAAAAAAAAAAAATGTCTTTGGCTTATAATTCTTGTTTACATATTGTTGCCCATATGAACTCTGTGATAGAGTATCCCCTGATGCCCTTTGATTGTTCTGGTATCACTTGCCACATACACAAGGGACAACCATGTATGTCATAGTATTACACATAAGAGCTAGAATGCATGCTTATTTCAGTGACACAAGTATTGAAATGAATAAAATCATTAGATATTATTATCTAAGCAGATTGTGAATACTGTTAACTATATGTAATTTAAATAACTAAATAGGAATCTTCATTGTTAGTGTTACAAAAATCTCAAAAACTAATAACTTCCAGCGGCATAACTCTATTGGAACTTATGCTGTATTTGCGGTTTTTTTTCTTTTATGGCTTGTAAAATATGCATCGTGCTATCAGTATGGTAGCTAGATATGTGCATCGAGGCAAAAAATAGAGAAAACTCATCTGTATGCTCAGGAAAGTAGATGAGAAGAATAGAATTTGAAGGAGCCGACAAATAAGTTATTAATGATGTAAATAATGTTTACTACCAGGTCAAATTGGTTATTATTTTAATGCATTTAGAGTTTCTAATGTTTGTGTGATTTATTTACTCATTGAGCTGTGAATTTCGATGCAAAGAGTATTAGAAAATGCTGAATCACCAAATACTAAACTTTGTAGGAAAAAAAAAAAGTTGATGGAAAAAGATTTCAATTCCCTTACTTGGAGTTTAACTTAGAACTTCTCATTTCTAACCATCTATCTATAGAATCGGCATCTTTGGCTATACCTAGATTATGAAATAAAATAAGCCAGGACCTGTTCTCTGGCCTAGGGATATGTGTGATGGGTCTGTGCACATCCATAAGATAAAACTCTTTTTTCCCTCAAAAGATGGGGCCATGCCAAAGCAGCTTATGGGGAATGACCATTGGCATGTGACCTGAATGATAGCCAGGTATCATCTGCATGAGTGCCAGCTGGCATGAGCCAAGAACGTACAAGGAAGCATGCTGACAGCTCAGGAAATACAGTGAACCTCAGGGCAGTGCTCGAATCCAAAAGCTTCTTTTATTTATAAATAAAGACATTTGTCTCTAAGTGTAGTTTTAATCTTTATAGAGATAGATTAAGAGAAGCTCATTCTCTGGCACAGATGTTCTGAGTTTTGACAGGACATAAGGGAGTATAGTGAAGACCTGTGCCTGCTTTGCTCCTGCAAGCCAGGTGAGCACACTAATAAGGGAAGGAGGCCACAGGCTTCTGTCTTTCATCTGCTTTCCCTCTACAAGAAACTTTAAAAAGTTCTTGGAATTCTTTTGTTCTTTTTGTTCTATTCCAATGGGCATCATCAAAAACAAATGTCAAAATGTAATTTCCTTTTTTTGTCAAGTGGAATTCTTGTTTTCTAGCCAGCTTTACAGCCAATTGCCATGATTAAAAACAAAAGAGCAAGAAATGCCATCTTCTGTGTTACAGAAAAATCTGCATTCACTTTAAGGTGGTGGGGAATAAACCTTTAGAATCGGCAGACAGAAAGACCCAGACAGATATACCAGGCAAACTGTGTATATTTGTCTTGTTTGAAACTCATATTCTGCTTTCTGAGCTGAAAAATACAAATGTGGTAAGAAGAGAATATTTTAAATAGACAGGAAAAAGGAGAATAGTCACAGTAACATTTTGATAGACTCCACTATTGTAGAGTACATCTCTTCTGCAAAAAATGAGCCAGTGAGATGAGGACTGTGGGAAGATACATTGTGAAATTTACATGTACATGCAGGAAACAGTCATTGCATTAGATAATCTAGTAAATAACCTCCTTGAGATACATCCTTTTTTGCATTTGTATATTTATTGCTTTTTGGACTTAATGGAGTGAGGGGTGTTTTTTCACAATTTTTATGGGGAAAGAAGGAAATAGAAAGCATCATTAAAGTGTGATTGGGCACGACTGCCTTCCTGTCCTTGTATATCTGTGCAGCTAGTACATCTGGAGCTATTGTTGTAAAGATACTTTTTCCTTTTTTTTATGGATTGCAACTTTATCTGTCTAGTTCAACATCTGTTGCAGATAGAATGCAGTTTAGATGCCTGCGTTTCCTGTTTTAGTGGGAAAGTGGAAAAACAGTGAAAAATCTCTTGTTAATATTCATGCTTTTACATGCATATGAAGTTTACTTATACCATTTTATCTATCAACATTTATCGCCTGTTGGTAGAGCTGAAGACCTGATTAAATAAAAAAAAGATACAGCTTTCTGTGGGAAGTGTGCCTGTTCCCTCATCTACTTCTTTTTAAGTATTATCCCCCAACATAAGAAGGACATGGACCTGCTGGAGCATGTCCAGAGGAGGGCCATGAGAATGATCCGAGGGCTGGAGCACCTCTCCTATGAGGAGAGGCTGAGAAAGTTGGGGCTGTTCAGCCTGGAGAAGAGAAGGCTCCAGGGAGACCTTATTGCAGCCTTCCAGTACCTAAAGGGGGCCTACAGGAGAGCTGGGGAAGGACTTTTTACTAGGGCATGTAGTGATAGGATGAGGGGGAATGGCTTTAAACTGGAAGAGGGCAGGTCTAGATTAAACATTAGGAAGAAAATTTTCACTCTGAGGGTGGTGAGGCACTGGACCAGGTTGCCCAGAGAGGTTGTTGAGGCCCCATCCCTGGAGGTGTTCAAGGCCAGGCTGGACGTGGCCTTGGGCAACCTGGTCTAGTGGGAGGTGTCCCTGCCTATGGCAGGGGGGGTGGAACTCCCTGATCTTCAAGGGCCCTTCCAATCTAAACCATTCTATGATTATATGATTATTTTCTACTGAATGTATTTATCTTTAGAGGAATAGTAAGGAAATGATTAATGACTGAAGAAGAGGTCCCAAAAGTTTTCTAGTCACTGTGTCAGTCCCAAAATGGAAGTTTTTTGAAGTCCACAATATTATTGTGAAAATTCCCAGAGCTATTACAAGAAACAAAAATACCATTACATCTACAGTGCTTGAAGTAGAGAAAATAGCAGAAGCATGCCCTCCATAGATAAAAGGTACTGCAGAGCTCTGGGACTCAACAGAAGCTGGGACCTTGCAAGCCCTGCTTATATATAGCTTTTGTCTGTGAGGAGCTTCATACATGCTGTGTAACACTTCTTAGAATTTATTTTTGATCTATTTTGCAGTCTGTTTAGTGATTTAGCTTGTGACAAGAATAGGTAGATTTGGGCAAGTGACCAAAAAAACAAGTGTGTGAGTGTGTGTGTGTGTGTATATATATATAACAGTTTGTTTGGACTGTAAGCAACTGTATAATATTAGGATAACTAAGGCCATAAAAAAGCTGGGAAGCTAAGAGATGTTCATAGTGGCATGGTGTGAGCTAAACAAGTAATAAGTACAGATAAAAAGAGGTGTCTCGGGGGGTGGGGTGTTGTGCTGATGTAAGAGCAGTCTTTTTTTGACAAAAACCTTGAACCTACAAGAATATTTAGTGTAAAATGAAGTGTGAAGTTCATATTCTGAATTTGTATTTGTATTTCTCTATTTGTAGACTAGAGAAGATTTTGAAGTTTTGTAACTTCGTTTGTACCATATCAGCATATGAATATGAGTAAAGCTGGTGAAATATTTAAACAGAAAAAACAAGACTTTGTTTTATGTCATAAGTGCTAGTGGTTCTGTGGTTGTGAGGCATAGTGTACATCGTTTGTTTCTTCTTGATAAAATAGAAGAGTAAGCGATACCATCTTTTATGACTGTTCGTTGAGTATTTTGATACTGGTATTCAATACTTCTGTTTTTAGAAGAAAAAATATTGATAGGGCCAAAGATTTATGATTTAGAGAAGATGCAAAACATCTAATTCATCCTGCTTGTTTAAAAGTACAAACTTCCCAGTGTTTGCTCATGGTTGCCTACAAAATTGTGTGTGAATAAGTGTGTTTGTATGTAGATGAAGAGACATTGTTAGTCTAATTTCGTTAAGATGAAAATCTTCAGCAATATCACACAGTGCAGCTCTGACAAGTGTAGAAAGGGAACTCAGCATTGTGATTTCTGAACTAGACCTTGAACCAACAGAAACAATGGACATTCAGTAGTTTGAGATCAGACACCCAGTGTTACACACCAGTATCCATAGCCTTTGGGGTCTTCTCCTTGCCAGAAGCACACTCCATGTTCCCTCCAAAATCTCCCAGTCTGCTTGCTGCTTCTGTCACTGACTTTCTGCAACGTGCCAGTGCCAGAGGCTGAGGATGCCGAGTTACTCTCCAGGAAAGGGCAGTGTCTGCTTTTCCTGAGCCTTCATCTTAAGCAGAACAATAGAACAAAGAAGTATCATCTTCGTTGTCCAGCCTCAAAACAATAAAGAGAGTATTTTAGTAAACTCTGAACAAGCAGTTCAAATAATTCTACCATCATTCACATGAGAATTTGCTGTTCCTAGGTATTCTGTTGAGATACAAAAATGTTTTTCTTTGAGCTGACACAAAAAAGGAATCAACCTCCATTTTAAGTGTAGATTCTAATTTATAAGCACACTGCTTAATGTATCAATATTTATTTTGCCTTTAATCAAATTTCCCTTGTCACTGACTTTTTTTCTTCTGTCTCCTATTCTGTCTTTTGGATTTTGTTTTGATTTCCTTAGCATTTACTTTACCCTGGAGAGCTTGTATTATTCCTCCTAAATCTCAAAAATGTTAAACTCATTTCATTCACCACTTTTGGCTAAAGTAGGTGCTTCTGAATCTCTTCTGGTCTCCTTGACAACATGATTCCCATTTCTTACTAGCTTCCTTCTATTCTGCAGGAAAAATTCTAATACAATTTCAAATCTTGTATGATGAAGAGTAGTACGAGAGCTTTGTTAAATACTGTGCAATAAACTGTTTACAAGTGCACTTTTATTGTCTTGATTTCTTCTGCCATAAACATTTAATGAAGACAGCAGTGCATTTGAGGTGGGATTCTTTATGGGTTCATGGGTAGCAGATCGCACTCTAGTAGGGTCTATGTTCTTAGAAGCCCATCAGACTCATGCAGTTATACACCTTAACATTGACAATAATTTTTGATGTTCTTTTCTTGCTTCAGATTAATGATGTGTAATTGTTTAGGAGGAGTGACAACTTTCCAGTGTCTTAATGTATTTCCATATATCCTAGTGATCCAGGTTTATACTTTAGGTTAGAACGTTACAGTACAGAATGATGGGTTATGAAGTAACTTTATGTCTCTAATTTGTGTTTTCTAGGTCAAGCTAATGCCTCCAGCTCCAAATGATGACCTGGCTTCTCTGAGTGAGCTAACAGACAGCAGGCTGCTTTATGAGATTCAGAAGCGTTTCAATAATAATCAGATATATGTGAGTTGCCATTCACCTATCAACAGTAAGCTTTCAAAAAAGAGCAAATGAGAGAATAGAAAAAATAGGATTACTACCATAAGTACTAGACAGTAATCTGCCCCAGATTCATGACTAATATTTAAATGGATCAGAACATATGTGTTCTCAAGTTTATATAGGAAAAGCAGAAATAAAAAATGGAGTAATGCATCAGATAGGTTTATTTCACAGAGCAAGTGTATTGGTAAAGATTGATGGGCACATGTAATCTTCCCTCTCAAACTGCCAAAAGATCTTTCCGTCTTTAACATTATGTTAACTTAAATATAGCACATGATTACTGTGAATTTAAAACAAATTTACATTTAAAAAGCTTAGAATTCACATGGGAGAATTAATTATTCTTTATGTCTTCCTATATTACAGAGATCATTCTCTATATTTTAATGTTAATCAGCTAGATACCGAATGAAATAATTACAGCAAGGTTTTTGTAAAGCAGGTTTTCCTGGTTTTGCCATATTAAACTTGGGAGGCATCCATTTAGGCATAGATTACTTCTGGAGAAAAATCCGCACTTGAAAATTTTGGTATCCCTGTTCATGTGTTATTCATAACTTATTTCTAACTTACTGAAAAGCTGAGTGACATGTTAATGCGAAACATGCAAATTGTTTTTAAATGTATAAGTTGATTGCACTGTTTAGACTGAAGGAATATGGGGAATTGGCATGTTGCTATGACTAGTTTTGAAATTTTGGGAACTTTTATTCTAGCTGTTATGGTGTTCAATGATAATAAAAATTTTGGTTTTTAGAATTATGGACCAAATCCTATTTTAGTATAAGTATTTCTTTTGATTTCTCTCACTTTCAAAGATGTCAAACACAGATAACTTTACCTAAATTTGGGAGGATCCACAGATACTCAGTATCTACAAAAAGGAAGTCATGTTTTATTTTAAAATACTGAGGATTTTATTTAAGAGGATCTCATACCCTAACATGGCATTCTTCTTAGCCTAATGAAAATTTATAGGCAGTTATTATTAATGTTCTATTCAACAGCAACCATAGTGCTTTGGTGGAGTGTCAGCATCAATGCTGAAAATCCTTGCATCTTTGGGTGATTTGGTTCTCAGGCTTAGAAGGAAAAGTCCTTGGACTCCGATTCCAAACCCAAATCTTCCTCAGCAGCTTCCTGTTTCATGTTTTGTGAAGCTTTATAAAGTTCTATTCTGCAGAAAAACCCAACAGCAAAGTCAGGATGGGCAAGAGAGAGGAAATAAATTTCAGAAGAAAAATAGTACATTTGTTATGAAAGGCAGTATTTTCTGCCTCCCCAAATCAAAATACTTTGTTTTGAAAAAGGCAGAAAGACTGGGACAGTTCATGTGATGGTTTGCTGTCTGACCTCTTCAGAGACAGAGGTCTGGCATTTTTGCATTCTAAGAGCATAATATAGCTAACAACAGCTACTTAGGTGGAGTGAGAAGTATAGCATCAAGGGTGACCTACAATCTTATAGTCAAGTACATCTTTCACATATGAGTGTTTAAATATGAAATAATTAAATCTTGGTACCTTTGCAATCAGTGGATGGTTTGCTATTTTTAATATAGCCATGATTTTTTTTTTCTATATGCATGTACATATGTTCACATGCATAAAAACTTATATATGTATCAGTTGCTCTGTCTTATCCCACAAGCAACATATTTTAATGTATCAATTCTGGTTAATCAATATAGCATTTCTAAATTATGTCATTTATCCCATAAAAAATTGCTTGAGGAACTTGTTTACGTGCTGGGCATGTCACATTTTTGTAGTTTAACAAATGGTAAATTACAAATTAACATTAATCTACCAATAATATATGCAGTGCAATTCTTTTATGCATAATTTTCCATTATGAAGAACTCAATTTTATTACAAAAAGAATAATTAATGCTGTCTGAATTGCAAATTTAGATCTCAATGTAAAGTTATGAAGTTAAAAGCTCTGAATTTGTGAGCTATGTTTAATATGCTGATAGCTAGATTTAAGAGGCTTTCGCAAAAGTCCTTTCTGGAAGAAAATCATTAGCCTCCTTAAAGATTTAATTTATTACTTAATAAAGCAATTATGTCTTCTTTTTTCAGACCTACATTGGTGATATACTGTTGCTTGTTAACCCATTTAAAGAACTTCCTATTTATTCTACCATGGTAAGCATTCTCTCTTTAAAGTGTTACAGTGTGGATCTTTTTCAGTGGATTTATATAGTTCATTTGGCAGGCCAAACCCCTAAAATTAATTAACATATATGGCCTTTTTTATGTTGGGAGCATCTTAGCTTTAATATTTTAATAAAATTATTTTCATTTCTTACACGATACCACTATTTTTGCTGTGTCTTACTTGTAAAACAGCCATCTTGCTAATGTTTTGTATGAGCAGTAGCACTTGAGATTGTTTAAAAATAGTTCCTGATGTATAACGCGACCTTGGTGGTTTCTACCACTGCCAAACTTGCAACAAAAAACAACCTCGCATCTTTCATGCAGCGGTTGTCTGACTTCACACTCCCCTTGCCCAAAACACAATTACGGAGATAACAACCTTGAATGGTGCAGAAAAGCTCAGAATCATAGAATCATAGAATTGGAAGGGACCTTGAAGATCATGGAGTTCCAACCCCCCTGCCATAGGCAGGGACACCTCCCACTAGACCAGGTTGCCCAAGGCCACGTCCAGCCTGGCCTTGAACACCTCCAGGGATGGGGCCTCAACAACCTCTCTGGGCAACCTGGTCCAGTGCCTCACCACCCTCAGAGTGAAAATTTTCTTCCTAATGTTTAATCTAAACCTGCCCTCTTCCAGTTTAAAGCCATTCCCCCTCATCCTATCACTACATGCCCTAGTAAAAAGTCCTTCCCCAGCTCTCCTGTAGGCCCCCTTTAGGTACTGGAAGGCCGCAATAAGGTCTTCCTGGAGCCTTCTCTTCTCCAGGCCGAACAGCCCCAGCTCTCTCAGCCTCTCCTCATAGGAGAGGTGCTCCAGCCCTTGGATCATTCTCATGGCCCTCCTCTGGACATGCTCCAGCAGGTCCATGTCTTTCCTATGTTGGGGAGTCTAGAGCTGGATGCAGTAAATGTCTGTCTGTGCTCCACACCAGGCCACTTAGTTCAGACGCGGAACAGTCAATGAGGGGGAAGTGCTGTGCAGGAGTGTAGCACTGCACCGGGGCAGTCACATGGATGTGGCTTGAGTTGGGCACAGGCAGTATATAGGCAAAGGGAACACGAGCCCCTGTGTGCACTGTCATACACACAAGGCCACTTAGGAAGTGCTTTCAGATGTTTCTCTTGAATAGTACTACCCTTCTCATTCTAATCTTTCACTTACGAGACAGACTAGTTTTTTACAAGGGGCTTATTGTTTCCAGTACTGAGACATTGATACTAGCATTCATACTAACTAAAAGTAGACTTCGTAGATCAGTGGGAGTAACATAAATTCAAGTGATTTGATCTCTGCTTCATTCTCACTCAGCCATGTTAGGAACAGAGAATTAGTGTAACTGTTTATTTCTTTCCCCACCTCCCTGTTATTTTCTCATCATTGCACTGAGGTTACATTACCGCACAGAGATCAGGCTCACTGTTGTGTTAGGAAGTGCTCACATACATTTATTTAGCTTACAAGAATTATAAAGGGTTCAAAATTGGTAAGTGAACTAGTCTGTGGCTATTTGCTATGTCATATGGCTTCGTGTGTATCAGTTGTAAATTTGAGAGAAAGAAATACTATGACATTCAATGGCAGTATCAGCAGATTCCAAGTTGGGAGTCTAAATTTAGTTTCAAGAAATGGATATCATCCATCATCCCCAAGGTTTTAGATGATGATATTTTTTCCTGTCACTGTTTTACATTAGATACATGATTTTGTGCACCAAGAGAGAACTGTAAAGAAAAAGAATTTAGATGGTAGGCTTACTTATTAAAGTGTTTCCTGAACTTTTGCTGTATCTTCTCTGACCTCTCTGTGATAGATCTATTTTATAAGTTTAGCATGAGTTACCTCTTACTTCGTCATTAATATGCATGGTATTGTGCATTAGACATGTATTTCCCAGAAGATCAGAAAACCATGGTTCTAAAATAGCTTTGTTTTCTCTGTTTTTGAAAGCTTAAATGTACTGCTGCAGCTTAGCTGGTACTATAATGAAGTCTGTAAATGTTAGATGGCCCATATATTAACATAATAAAAATAGATGATGTTGATTCCTCAGTAGACACTGACATGCTATATGATGTGGCTCATTAGTGTTAGCATTTTTATTGCAGGTATATGTTTTGTTAAGTGTCAAAAAAAAAAAAAAAGAAAAGAATGCAAAGATATATTGGGCATCATACTATTTTTAAATCCAGGATGAAGCAATGAAAAGATTGTCATGTATATTTTTCAAGAACAACAACACTTCGGGTTTTATGCTTTTTTTTTTAATCACTTTTCATAAATTTTTGGCAATTTTTTCTTTTGTTATCCTACACTGACCTCCCACATTTAGTTCCAATAGAGTTCCACTAAAACAAATCTTTTTATAAGCAATTATCGACTCTGAGATGACATAAAGAATCATAAATTGAACACTGATGTATGTTGCTTCATACGTAATTCATTGCAATTGCTAAATGATAAAATTAATGCGTTGTTACATGGAAATACACTGTCCTACTACACTATGGACTATAGTAGCACTATACTACTAGGAACATGCAAATGTCACTTTGGAGATATCAGTAACTGTAGAAGCAACTTGTGCTACAGTTGTTCTATTTTGTTACATTTATGAAGAATTTATTTGTGTCAGATTAGGGAAAATATATATATTCTTGAAGTCCGTGTGTTAGAAAAGTATCTAAACTTGCAAAACATTTGCAACATTACGCAATGAAAGTAAGTGTGCAATGGTTTATCGTTCTGCTTTGTGACATATTGAAATGAATTCTTGAGGATTGGTGTGGCTTTAATCATCTTTAGTCTGGTAGCTTAAAAGACCTGAATGTGAATAGGGCCATATTGTGAGGATTCATTCAGCCACAGTGTTGTAGATGCTCCAAGATTCAATAGTTTAATACGTAAATAAATAAGACAGGCATGAGACAGGAAGGGGTGATAACCACGTGATTAGTTTGGAGAAAGAAGCAAATACAAAGTGGCACTGGGGTGGAAAGACTGTTAGAGAGAATAGTTGGAGAAAACAGGACATGATGGAAAGGAAGGGAATTGGCTGTTTAAGTGATAACATCCAGTATCGTTCTAGATGCTTCATAGTGTTCCAGTTGTCCCCCAGCTGCCATGGGTTTCTATATAAAAAAGTAGGTAAAATTATTTATTTAAGGCTATTTGTGAAATGGTATGGTGTTTCTGGTCACAGCCTTATCTAAATCACATTCTGTATTTTCTTTATGATATTTATTTATTCTGAAACAACAGAATTGTAGATGTTAGCAGGCTATCTAATTTTTCTAAAATCTGCTTGATATTACCTGAAGGAACATCAGGATATCCTCAGGAAAAAAAGTGAGGTTTCAGTAGCAGATAATTGGTTCTACCCATACTTTAAGGATAGTACATGGTGCCAGCTAAGCATATCACAGAAGTTAGTCTATATTGCAGAGACAGTATTTGTGGGATACTGCGCTGTCGTGTAATAAATGCATTAGCTTATAACTTCAGATCCTTAATTTCAATTTTAACTTTTAATACAGTGATAATATTTCATTTTGTAAGACGTTTAAGTCAAGATATCCAAGAAGTATATACTTGAGGTATAAAAGAGTAACTTTCTAGGTTTTGGTTTATTTAATGACAAACCAGTGTTGTTGGGTCCTCTCGTTATGTTCAATTTTGTATCTTAATTAAATCTTCTATGCTTACAGCTCTGTTTTCTTTACTCAAACTCTTCATAGATACTGTAATGGTACCACATATATACACACAGAGATTCTGTTTATAATGCTTAGAGAGCTTTACAAAAGACCGAGGATTAGGGGGGTGTGAAACATAATTTGTTTGAAATGTACTGATTGTGTTAATTTTCTACAATTTTTCAGGTCACCCAGCTTTATTTAAGTAACTCTGGAAAATTGTGTTCCTCACTTCCCCCACATATATTTTCCTGTGCTGAAAGAGCTTACCACATGCTATTCCAGGAGCAGCGTCCCCAGTGCTTTATCCTCAGGTGAAAATTTATCTTTCTGTTAACTAATTTGTAACTCCTGCCTTTCAGCGGTTTCCCCCAGGACCCAGCAGTTGAGATTTCCATTTTATTTTTTCCTCCTTCTGTGTACTGATCTCTGTATCATATGTTAGAGCAAAATAGAACTGAAAAAGGTTTAATTACATCTCAAGTTCATAAATTCTCTTGGGGAATTGCCACTCCATCTAGCTGCATCTAATTAGGAGCAAAGAGTTAATGGTAAAGAATTCAAAACTGCTCTGTGTGTTTGCTAATATTACATGGATCAGGATTAGAAATAGAATCTAATGACAATAAAATTGGAAATCCTTGAATAAATTATAAACCTCTGAGTTGGGGCACCTGTATTGGAGCTTCCACTCGGCCTCATGTGTTTGTGTGGCCATGAGCTTGTTATTTAGCTATCCAACTTCAAAATGGACTTTAAGCAGTACCTGTATTCACAATGTTGTTGCAATCATAAATGCATTCAAGATTGTGAATGAATGTGTTAGAAATCTCCAGTGAAACAGAGTTTTATACAAATATGCCGGTTTTATGATGGTAAAACTTTGAATTCACTTGGAACTTTTGATCCCCAAATTTGTTAATCCCTTTTCTTCCTTCACTCTAGCTGATAACAGCAAGTCTGGTGAATTTGGTGTAGTTACTCAAAGAAATTTGTTGCTCAGTCCTGTCACTTTGAGAATTGCTGTTGGCTGAAATAATGGCAAGGGTTTGCAGACTTCATGGGAGATGTGGGCAGGAGGGAGGGGAAAGGTTGATTTTGATTTGGTCAGGAATAAAGGCTGATCCACCTGATAAATCTTGTAATTGCTCTTGAACTACCTCTAATTATAAGGGAAATTAATACTATAAATGGAGAGGATTATGATACTCAAAAGCAGCTAATAATGCTGGTTTAGATTTACAGGAGTTAAAATGAACACATAAATACAATCATATGTATCCATTTTTGTTGCACTCTGTTTGTGTGGATACAGAATCCTGTGAGTATTTGAAGTTCTGTATATTAAGTCTTCAAATACATCTGAATATTTTAATTAAATGTTTTTTTAAAGCATAGTTTATAAAAAAATCATAGTTTATGTTTCTAAATTATAAATATATAAATATACAAATTAGTTATGTGTGGAGCAAATGGTAACCTTTTTATAACCTAATCAGAATGGAGTAGTTACATATTTATCCAGTGAGCAGTGTCATTTAAGCAGGAAATCATTACTGCATGTTCCTATTATCTTCTCGTAAATATTAACTCTTGTTTAAGTATAACAATTTTGATAAAAATAAGAAATATCCTAAAGTACTGTCTTCAGCATTTTCTTCAAAGTAGGAACTTGGACATTGCTAATTGATTATTATCTTTGTGAAGTTGCCTGTAAGTGTAGACGGAGAAGAAGGAGAAAGTAATATTTATTTGCACTTCAAGAAAAAGGCTGACTGCCAAGTGAAGTATTGTGTAGTAGTAGTACACAAAGAATATTTGACTTAATAGTAAATGGCTTCGATATCAGGGAATAGTTGTTACTGATGATTTTATATCAGGATGTCAAGGCACGTGGTAAGCCCTGCTGTCTTGATCCCTGCTCAGCACACTGGAGGTTATTATAAATCAGTGACCTGATGGAGAATATGACAAGAGAGTGCTCTGTTGATGGCATCAGCACTTGGCAAGATATTTGCATATCACATCAAGGCAACCCATAGATATGCCATCCTAAAATATCCTATATGTGGATAATTAATTAGACTTAAAGGCCATTTGTGAAAATGGAAGCTCAAAGGAAAGCATCTGGTAATTTGAAATAAGAGATAAGTATAAATGCAACTTAACAGAAACAGCTAGAAACAGTTCTTTGTAAATACCTTTCTTCTACTAGTACTAAATAAGAAAACAAGGGAATTGAGATCTTTCAGAAGTTCATAAAGAGGTATTAAAAATGAGCTATTCTCATTATATTAATCCATTGGTAGAATGCAAATAATGAATGTCTGGAAAGTAAAGGTCATATAGGAAATTTCCATTGGGTTTGTGATTATAATAATAATAATAATCTTCTGCTTAGTTTCTGCCCCTGAGGTCATGTCATATAGCATCCAGTCAGTTTTTCTTTGATTTTTCACTTAAAGATGAGTTTGTGGAGAAGTTTTCAAGATCTCAGTTTCATTTTTTATCAGAACCAAGAAACTGCAATTCTACAGTTCTGAAATACTCCAAGCTTTTGTGTTTTACTTTGTTTTCTCCAGCCTCTTTTATCAAGCATACTCTTCATTTCTGAGTAAGAAATTCTGTATGTGTTTGGCCTCCGGTCTGTAATTTTAAAATACCTCCAGTTTTAAAGCTGGGTTGTGGATACAATTCCGTGCATGTGTGTGCAGTGCAATGAATGTACCCAGTAATAAATTTTAAAATTTAAAAAGTACACTTCCCTGTAATGTGGAATCACAGGCTGAATGAAGATGGGGGAGCTCAGGGAAGCTTTCTATAGCTAGAAAGACCATTTCATATGGGTGCTCAGAAGCAACGAGACAGTGGATGAACAAGTGAAAAGAACTCTTAGATGCATGAGAACATAAGAGTGGAGTAAGGTGGCTAAGAGTGTTTCTGCCCTTCTACCTTTGGCTGCTTGTTTCCTCATTTCCACACCAACATTTGTGTCAGCACAAACATTCAGGTGGTGGCATGGTGAGCTGGGCTGGAGAAATGCTCTCAGGTCAAAATTACACCTGGGAGGGCAGTGGTGATGTTGAGGAGCTATTTTAACCTGCATCCTTTTCAAAGCCAAATTCCCCTAGAAGTGAAATGAGTTGCCTGAGCTGGACTGACAAGGCCCACTGTTTTTGGTAGTGGTTTTGGCTCAGACTAAATAGTTCGTAGAATCCTTGTACCGTGTTTACTGCTGCTGTAATGGAATGGTCGGCCTGAAACACTGTCCAATTCAGAGGTCCTACAATGAGGAGCATCAGTATGCCACATAGGAAAATAGCCACACCAAATCAGAAGGGTGCTAGTATTGTTTGGTTTTATTAGTAGTATATCCAGTGAAAGTAGGTGGTCCCTGTGGGTATGTACTCATCTCAGGATGAAATTCTCTTGATATCTGCAAGATACGCCATTTTGCCATAAGAGCACTCTTGGAATTGCACAGCAAGAGTACGCTTTTGCCTTCTATTGTCATCATTAGCAAGTGAAACATGATGCAATTATAGGATAAAACTCTTAAATCTATATTTATTTTTAGGTCTACTTTTACCTTATAAAAATACCTTATAGGGTAAGTAATTTGTTAGTATAATGTATAAACATAATTATGCTTTAGTTTTACTGTAAAGATTTTACCATGAGAACAGGCTACTGTTTTGATGTGCATGTTGTGATACCGACATTTTACTTTTCACTTGCAATTCTCAAAAGACATTGAGCTTAACTATTAAGTGCCAGAGAAGAACCAAGTGATGGCAGTATGTGTAACTCTCATCTGAATTTTTCCTGAAAAGTTTGTTATTTTAAAAACCATTAATTTCTTTATAGAAATATGTTATTTAATTTCAGTACATAGAGCTATGGCACAACATTTTTAAAGGGACAGGGAAGAATATCAGAAAATGTACCCTCATTTATGTTAATCCTATCATCTTCATCAAGCTTTTTAGCTTATTTTGTGGAAATAAAGTTTATATTCTGTTAGCAATGTTCTTCAATTCTCTTTTTTTTGTTGTTTTCTGCCAAAGAGTAATGACAAAAAGATAATCCCCATGAGTTTAGTGGCCATTACTAATGATTCATGAATTACTCTTTTATTGGACACACACTGTTTCTAATGAATTCTGCATGCAGCGTAACCCTTAATGATACTGTTTTTCTTAGTCTGGTAATTTTTGCCTCCCACATTTTCCGAAGAGATCATAATGAAAAGAGATGAAGGCACCTAAAGTTGTCTGAGTTGGAACTTAGATGCCTAAGTCCAAAACTATGGTCTTGAAACCCTTGCTAAACTACCAGATTCTACCTTCTGACCTCAAAGCGTTACTTCAATTTTCAGCCCATTTGTGTATTCAGGAGAGGTTCACAGTTTCTGTCAGGGCAGAGTCTTACAGCACTATTTATTTCATGCTTAAGTCTGACTGAGATCCAGGAATTTTGCATTCCTGTACCAAAGTCCCTTACAACAAGCTTTCTCAAAGCATCACTAATTTATATCACTGAGATCAGAGTCTTTCTAAATTAGACATTCATCCATGAGCAGTTGTATTTATTGTGTATGATGCTGCTCATAGCTGTTTTCCTGTTCTTTCTCTCTCATATAACTTCCATCAGGGTTTTGTTTATTTGTTTTTACTGGTTTTCTTTCTTTGGCTGATTGTCTGGTGATATTTAGAGTAGAAGCCCTTCAGGACCAGACTATTTCTGTATTGTATCCTTAGCCAGATATCGTTGGAATCTCCTGACTCCACAAAAATGATTGTGATAATGTTGGCAATTAAATATATGGAAGCAGACACTCCTCCCTTTTCTTCGGGAATAAACAACAGAGATTTGGCAGTGAGTGCACTGTGAGAGCGCAAAAATGAAGCTAATAAAAAGTGAGCACTTCTGTCATGAGTATGACTGTTCTCAGAGTGCTAAGCTACCTGCTATTTGCAGAAACAGCATGGGCTTGTGCCAGATGAAGAAGGATTCTCCCTTCTGTAGTGTCGTCACCTAATATTTATGTTTTCTGTGCTTAAAGTCACTGTAGGTATGGCAGTGTTCCTATCTATCTATAGCATACAGAACTTGGTGTGTATTAGATCACCTTAACACTGCTTAGTAGAAGGCAAGCTTTAAGACTAAGAAAGTCAAAGAAAAGTTTCCAACAAGTGGTTAAAATAGAAAAAAAATCAACAAAATGATCTATCAAATGTGAAATATTCTTCCTTAGCAGCAAGATTCTGTTGAAAGGTGTTGTTCACATGGGAAACAGATTTAGCAAATCTTG